AATGCCTTTCCTTTAACGGCTTAGATCAACCTCTACTGCAACAGGGCAGCAAGCCTCCCAGGCAGGCAACCCAATAGCAATTCTACAGACAGCTGCTCCTCGCCATACCAGGATGCTTTCTGGCCTACTTAGAGCCTGCCAGTGCTTTCAGCTCACTCCTCTGCAACTGCACATCACTGCTCAGGAATGAGCAAAGGCTGCAGAAGTTTCAAGCTGGAAAAAGCAGCTCAGCTGGCAGGTAATCTCTCCAGATCAGGGCAGTGTTCAGAAGCCTCCACTGCTGCAAGCGTAGCGAGCTCAGTACTGCTCAGGTCTGGCTAACCAGCAGCGTTGGGGAAAAACTTAGAGCTTGCATTATAACATGGGACAAGCATCTAACCAGGGCAATCAGGAGTCAATTAGAAGCATTTTTAGCAAGTGTCCCTGATTATCATATCACCATATTTCTGGAAAATAGGTGCCTAACATTAAAGAACAGCATTCACATTAAAGTACCCAGAAGGTCTTACATGGGCAAGGAGTTAGCTGCAGGTACAGAGACTGCAACAGGGTAGGAGCAACGTGACCACAGATCAGAGCTATCTGACTCAGGCTCCCTCTATAACCAGAGAAGCGCACCAAGATACAATTCCATCTCGTCCTAAACCAAACATGTAAACCAGCCCCGCTGAGTGGCCCTGTGGAAGCAGCTTTCTTTCCGCTGTCCTTGAAGGCAGTCCTGCTCTGGTGCAGGCACCTCGTGTTCGATGCAATTAACTCCAACCCTTACAACACAGAAGCCAGGCGCAGAGCTAGGAAGGAAGCGCCAGGACCCTGGTCTGAGTGCCTCGTGCCAACCCACTGGCCCCAGGGCTCACCTCTTCTGCTGTCCAAAAGGAGGCCTGAGCCTGTTTATACATTTTCCATATATCTGGGTACTGGATGGGGAAGATGACAAACCGCCGGGGATTTTTTCTGAGAAGAGGCTCCTCGTCAGGGTCCGAGCCATTTTCAGCAGCACTTGGAGACGAGCTCTGAAGATAAAGCAGAGTTAAGGTTGCTGTTACTTGTTCCTCCTCTTCCCCATATCCCAAAGGTGTGGTTCAAGAGCCTCCCGTGTCACGCAGACACGCACCTGCCCCTCTCGGGTGGACGCACGACCCATCCCTGGGGTACCTGCCCCCTCGCCGTCCATCTGTGCCCCCGCTGCCAGGGCGGCAGTGCTGCCTGTCTGCCTGGCTCTACCCAGCACCGCTCACACCAGGACCCCCTCCCCAGGAAGCACCTGACGCCTGCGTGCCAAAGAGGAAGCCTTTCTGCAGGGCAGAGGAAGCCTTTCTGCAGAGCAAGGAGGAAAGCTGCCCTGGGAGACAGCGTCAGCCGCTGCGGTGCTGCACACGGGGAAGACACCTGCAAGGTCACCACACGCTGCCGCCAGCCCGCATCCCGCACAGCTCCATGAGGCTCACTGCCCCTGTTACCTCCAAGTCATTCGCTTTACATCGAGACACTTGGGTCTGGATGGACTTTCTTAAAAATGTCATGAGATCACAGCAACTAATCCCCGTTGGTAGAGGATCAGCCCTGCGCCACAACGAGACTCTGCATGGAGGTTCGGGTATGCAACCCTGCTGTGAGCAGAAGGCGGCCCCCACACCGGCGCGGGTCTGGAGGCTCTCCCTCGAGTGCAGATACGAAGCTATGTGCCTCTCTTTCCAACAGCGGGCAGCACAAAAATCCCTGCCTAGAGTCACCCATCCCCACCCCGCTCCCTCTGCGCGGGCTCCCGGAGAATGCCTGTGCAGAGCTCTTCCTCAGAGAGCTACCTGCCCAGCCAAGGTGGGGACGGCTGACATTTAGGAGACAGGCCAGTGAAGAGCAGCACGGAGAGAGCACTCCATGAGTAGGGCCTTCACCTCGCCTCTGGCTGCGGACATCTGCCTCCGGGATCAACACCAGACAGCACCCCTGCCAGGCAGGTCACCAAGCACCTACTGAAGACAACCGTTGTGAAGAGCTGCCAGGACAGCATGCTGCAGCCTCTCCAGAAGGGTGGAAACTCACAGTGACCAAAAGTTTAGCCAGCAGGATGCCTTTCTGGGTCGGTTCTGAGATCCCGCTGACACCACTGCAGAGGATAACTAACCACAGGCAGCATACGAGGTATTACATATAATACAGCAGGGAAGGGGGGCAAAAGGGTTTGTATACCATTGATTCTACTCTCCGAGGAAGTGCCAAAGTCCTTTCTCCACCCAGTCTGCCTGTAACCACTCACATAATAAAAAGTAATCCTTTACTTCAATTTGGAGAATACCCTCCAACAAATAATTCTACTCACGTTTTAAAAACAAACACACACGCACATTGCATAGCTGGCATACGTATCACAGATTCCCAAAGAAAACGCATCAGGAAGCACATTCTGGATTACAATTTTACCACTTTATTACATTCTAAAATATTACTCAATTACACAAGACAAATTTTCCAGCATCATCTTGCAGAGTCTCTGCTGAAGGCCAGGAGAGTGCAAGACCTTCTGTATTTCCCAGGACACAGAGATGGTTGCAGTACCCACTGAAAGTCTCCTCAGGAGAATCTGGGCCCAGCAGGGATGACACCCTGCCTTCACACACACCTTTCCAGGGCCTGCCAAGCAGCTAGCATCTCCATCTGCTTCTGCACCAGCCATCATCCTTGAGAAAGCAAACACTGCAAAAGTCTGCCTTGTTAGCCCAGCATTTTCCCAAGCAAAACCCTTCTATACTGCCTGGGGACTATGCCCAAGGATTTATTTTAGCCTAACTAGGCGGACTAGCAGTTACCAACCTCAGCTTTGATGTTCCTGAGCCATCATGCAGGGCCCATAACACAGAGATAACTTGAAAAATACTTACGGTGTACAGAAGTGAAGTGGAGCACAGGAAGAGCAAAGATCCAGTATGGCAGGAAAACTGGAGACCAACACTGAGACAAGGAGCACTTCACAGAATCACAAAACAGCAGGGGTTGGAAGGGACCTTTGGAGACCATCCAGTCCAAACCCCCTCCTAACGGAGCAGGTTGCACAGGACGGCATCCATGCGGGTTTTGAATATCTCCAGGAAGGAGACTCCACAGCCTTCCTGGGCAGCCTGTTCCAGTGCTCTGTCACCCTCAGAGTAAAGAAGTTTCTCCTCATGTTGAGGCGGAACTTCCTGTGCTCCAGTTTGTGCCCGTTGCCCCTTGTCCTGTCACTGGGCACCACTGAGAAGAGCCTGGCCCCATCCTCTTGACACCCACCCTTTAGATATTGATAAGTGTTGATAAAGTCCCCTCTTAGTCTTGCTCCTTCTCCGCAGAGCTGCTCTCCAGCAGGTCGATCCCCAGCCTGTACTAGTGCACAGGGTTATTCCTGCCCAGGTGCAGGACCCTACACTTGCCCTTATTGAACCTCATCAGGTTCCCCTCCGCCCAGCTCTCCAGATCTCGCTGAATGGCAGCACAGCCTGCTGGTGTAGCCGCCACTCCTCCCAGTGTACCATTAGCAAACTTGCTGAGGGTACTCTCTGTCCCTTCATCCAGGTCGCTGATGAATATGTTGAACAAGACCACTTGTCATTTTTCCAATGGCCTTTAACAGTCGCCATGCCGAAGGCCACAGAGAGAGGGGTCAACACACCAGAAATACTGTCAGAGCGGAGCGAGACAGAAAGGCAAGAGAAGCAGAAAAGGCCCTTGAAGCAGTGTGTATGCTCTGGAGAGCCCTGATGGCAGGAAAGCAGAAGGATAGCTTCCAGGAGCCAAAGACTCAGAGTGATGGCATGACCCCGAGAAGAACCTCCACACAGACTTGGAAAATGGTACTGTTTTTTTTAAAAAAAATAGGTGTTTTTTTTTAAAATTTTAAAAAAGGAAGGGTCAGCCCACAGAGACTGCACCATACTGGAACCTCCCCCCTCAACCCACCTCCCACCTCCCCTAACCCCTTCTGGGGTGAAGTTTCACAGGCAGGTTCCATTTCCAAGTTGGCAGGTGGCATGCAGGCAGGCAGCTGCTGGCTATGAGAGGGTCCTGTCTCTCTCCCTTTTGGTTTCCAATCCTCTGAGACGAAGTTTCAACAGAGTAATACTCATTACCTAGCCAGCTTGTTAACACAGTACATGCCTTGGTACAACTCAGCTGAAAATTCATGGAAGATCCTTTCCTAATTCAATTTCGGACACACGGCACACTCTGATCGCTGCCAAGGCTTCAGAGCAGCCACCACTTGGTGCTGAAGGCGCACAACACGTTCCCAGCCCTGCCTTCCTGGCAGGGTTATGAGGAGCTGGAGAAGGTAAAAGCCACTAGGCCGATACACCTCCCGCTTTCAATCTGCAGCCCGGATCTTTTTCTTAATTCTACGACGGTGTACAAAGCAGTCAACACTAGCCATAATAATGAAGAGCATCCAGTTTACAATGCAAACGTGTTGCTTTCTGTTCAGACAACATGAGCCAAACTCATAAAAGAGCTGAAGCTGGTGGGCACAGCCCAACCCCTGCTCTAGAAGGGTCAGCCAGAGCAGGCTGCACAGGACCACGTCCAGCCAAGATTTCAGTATCTCCACGGATGGAGACTACATAACCTCTATGAGCAACCTGTGCCAGCATTTGACCCCTTTCACAATAAACAAGTGTTTTCTTACGTGCAAAGGGAACCTCCTGTGTTTCAGTGTGCCCATTGCATTCCGTCCCATCATGGGGCACCACTGAGAAGAGCCTGGCTCCGTCTCCTTTATTCCCTCAACCAGGTATTTACACACACTGATGAGATCCCCTGGAGCCTTCTCCTCTCCAGGCTGAACAGCCCCAGCACTCACGGTCTCTCTTCATACAACAGATGCTCCAGTCTCTTAGTCATTCGTCCTTTGCTGGACACACTCCAGTACATCATATTCCAGTTACTCTGCAACTACTACAGATAAACTTTTCTGGTGATGACAATAAACCCAATGGACAACAAAGACTGCTTACTAGTACTGAAGCTCTTTCCATTAATTTCAAATTCAGCAAACTATGAAAAAAATAATGTATATACACAAGTATAGCCACCACACCACGGCAATAGCTGTTGGCCTGTGTGTGCAAGTATCTCAGTTACACACCCTACATCAGTTGTAGCCAAGGAAAAACCTAAAGGCGCTGGCAGAGCCAGCACTGTGATGTGGCACATACCATGTCATGGTGTGTGACCACGAGCCCTTTCACACCCTGGTAAGAGGCTGCACGCGCATCCCACGAGCTCCCAAAGGCTTCAGGCGAGCCCTGGGCAGAGCAGGCCACGCTGGCGGTGGGACTGGGAAGATCACCGGCACTCCCAGGAGAGATGGCTTACACCACACAGCAGCTGAAGAGCACAATGCCTGCCGGTCCTGCACGTCCAAGGGGATGCACAGGACTACTGTTTGCCTCTGGCAGGCCAGAGCGAGCAGGTCTTCGTGGCAGGTACAGCATGTTACTGTTCACAGAGGGATACATTAAGGGATTTTTTTAGGCTTCTATTCCACACGGCATGCCCCAGATTTTGGAAAAGTACTCAGTAGTACTGAGTACTGCTGAGGCACAAAGGTTTGGAAAGACCACGCGGGCTTCTCTGCCGTAAAGATCCTTTACCCTTGCATACCTCTGCCTGGCTTCACAGGGCAGAACCCAGAAGAGCTCAGACACCTCCTGGGGGCAGACTCTCCTGGTCTACCAGGGGCTGGGAAGCCAGGACCACCCGACAACACCCACGCCTGCCTCCAGGGCAGCTCGGGGCAGCGGGGACAAGGCACAGCTCTGCAAGCCCAGACCCTCGCAGGGCAGCAAGGCCTGGTGCTGCCCAGGCCCTGCACCAGGCGACACAGGGTCCCCC